ATCCTAAAAATGGTACAATGGGTGAAAAGCCTGAAAAGCCCTGCTCTAGGACCTTCAAGTGTAAATTGGCATTCAGAAACCAAAAAAAAGAGACTTTACAGAATGGAGATGAGCATTATTCCTTGTTAACATCCAAGCATTATATAGCTGTAAAATAAAAAGTCAAAAGTTTCAATGTCACACAGTGATTTTTAGAAGTTTAGAAAGTAAACAAGCCAGGGAGAAAATTGGGCGGGGGGGGAGATGGCAACTAAAAAGCAGAGCAGTACATAATCAGAGCTATTAAAATTGAAGGTCAAGGAATATCTGGGTTCACACATTGTACTAAGGATGGTTTATTGGTTTGGCTTAGCATGGCGTGAAATCAACCTATAGAGTTTGAATGCAATGGTTTATAGCGGGGGTGTCAAACTCACGTCACGTGACGTGTCACGACTTTTTTTTCCGTTGCCGGCAATGGGGTGGGCGCGGTTTTGGCATGACGCATCCAGCCCACGCGGGCTGGCAGCTTGACACCCCTGGTTTATAGCTTTATGGTTTTTTTATAATAATTAGAAAGCAGCATTCACATCATTAGCTGTGGGCCTCAAAGCTATAAAGTGACACCGCCTGCCTTGAACTGACAGTGGTTATTTCCCCTTGCAGTGTGTGCAAGCAATACAGAGAGAACAGCTGAGCCTTCCTATTTGCAGGATAATTAAGCACACTAGGAACTGGCCAAGCCTCAGGAACAGGACATCAGTTCCCTTGACTGAAAGCCATAGACTCAGTAGAAGGGACAAATGCTGCTGCGATTGATTTGTATGCTTGCCTTTCTTCCGTTGTGATTATCTCATCAGAGAGCTGTGGAATCCCACTGTTTGAAGACCAGCCTTGTGCCTTCAGAGCCTCTGTGGGGAGGTGTTTTGCACAGGTTTCACGTTCCTCCCTCTGGTGCAATAGCTGAAAGAACCTGGGGCAATATTGCAGCAGGGACATCATAAGAGTAACTCTAGACCAGTGATGGCGAACCTTTTAGAGATCGAGTGTCCAAAAACTGGCCCCGCCCCTGCTCCGCCCCCCCATCCCCCACCCCGCCTGCCCACAGGACCACTCACTGCCTCCAGGGCCCGCCGCAGATCGCCCAGGCAGCCCAGCAGCGCTATGGCGGCTACACCCTCTGCCCGCGCCCTGCAGCATCAACTGCATGATGGGGCGTGAGGGCAGAGTCTTGTCTACGCTGCCTGGCTGCCATGTCCTTGGCTGCGCTGCTCCATGTGGGCCACGCTCGGGGGCAACTCTCCTTCAGGGGGGCTGCTGGAGAGGAGGGGGTCATGGGGGGGAGGCAAGGCTGGGCAATGGCATGTCTGCCCACAGAGAGGGCTCCGAGTGCCGCCTCTGGCACCCGTGCCATAGGTTTGCCACCACTGCTCTAGACAAAGTGGAAGGTCTTCTGCTTCAGATATTTCAAAACAAATGCTTGGCCAATCACCTCTAAGCTCTCTGTTAAGAGCACTGAGCTCATATCAAGAGGCAGCCTCAGAACCTCTCACCTTGCCCTGCTCTCGCTCTTTGTTCCAACTCCCGATTTCATCCCATTGCAGCAGGCAAGAAGAAGCAGGTTCAACCCTCCATCACAACACTTAGTGACTGCATTTGTTATTTATATCCCACCTTTATTATTTTTTATAAATAACTGAAGGTGGCAACCATACCTAATATGCCTTCCTCTTCCTATTTCCCTCACAAGCACCTCCCTATGAAGTTGATGAATGTCCTTACACATTCCTGCCTTCCCTAAAAAGATTTCTTCATGAAGCAGCCCACAGCTATCTTAATTCAGTTCAGACTGCAGCTTGCTGGAACAGCATCCACTCAGTGTACTCTCAGGTGTCAATGCCTGGCACTACCAAGTCAGGGTGGTAAAATTTCTGCCTGAAACTCAGGAGGTCCACCAGTTCACCCCAACACACCAAACTATACAGCAGTGATTTATTAAGTGAATCCATAGTGCATGGCTTAGCACACAGGGGGCCAACCTTGGCAACTTTAAGTTGTGGACTTCAACTCCCAGAATTCCTCAGCCAACATGGCTGGCTGGGGAATTCTGGGAGTTGAAGTCCACAGCTCTTAAAGTTATCAAGATTGGCCACCCTGGCTTGATGTTGTGCAAACTCCAGCCAATTATATATATATATTCAATAAATCATGTATATAAGCCAAAGTTGACAATACTGGGCTAGGCAGATCAGTGGTATTCCTATTTAAAGATCTCTTGCCCCACCAAGCGGCCTAATAGTTCATTGCACTGTATAAAAGGATTAAAACAGTGGTTCTCAACCTTTTTAATGCCGCGACCCCCAACCGGTCGTAAGTCAAGGACTAAACCGGTCGTAAGTCGAGGACTAAACCGGTCGTAAGTCGAGGACTACCCAACCGGTCGTAAGTTGAGGACTTTCCCTGCCCGGGAGCGCCACGCATGCGTGGTTCCGCCCCCTGCTCCGGCCGAGGCGTAGCTGGCAAGCGGCAGAGACGGAGCAGGCCGACCACCAGCTGGCCCAGCCCAAGGGAGGTAAGGCACCCGCCGGAAAAGGAGAAAAAATGGCGGACAAAAAAAATGGTGGACAGCCTTGCTTGGCGACCCCCGTGAAATGGTCGATCGACCCCAAATGGGGTCGCGACCCATAGGTTGAGAACCGCTGGATTAAAAGAACAGAGCTGTGTGCTACATTCATGGGAAAAGAGGTTGAGGCAGCGAAGCTTAAATTTCTGCCACACCCCTCAACTCGGAGGAGGGGGAAACACTACACAGTCCTTTTTTTTTACCTCTGCTCCATCACCCAGATACATTTGCAGAGCTGCTGATGAGGTATGATGGAAACCAATCTTTATTAAGGTCACATCTTTAGCTTTCAGATTTCATATACATATACATAAGACACATAAGACAAAGGCAATTTCACCACCATGGAAGGAATTTTTGTTTCTCTCTGAGACAGGCATTAAACTGTGTATACAGAGCATCAGTTTCATTTCCAACAGTTGGCATCTTTGAGGAAGACACGGTGCTTTCCCTGCAAACTTCACGGTTCAAGAGATGTACTTCAGTACTAATGTGAGAAGCCTCTGTAGCGACTTCCCACGCAGAATGGGCAAGTGGGACAGCCAAAGGAAGATAATTCTGAACTAAGTTTGTATTTGCTTTTTCTCAGCATTAGAGGCAGACAAGTCCCTTCATCTATCTACCTCATCAAATTGTATAATTACTATCCACACATAAGGCTTTGGCACTTCCTTACTCAGTGTTTTATTTAAGTGCGTAAACAATGCAAAGGAAACAAATGCTCCACAAAGCCCTCTCAGTTGATTATACACCTGAACAGAGAACTTAAACCATGTATCAAAAGAAAGGAGTGTAAGACAAAACAACTGTGTTGGATTTGTGAATAGCAGACTAGCTATCCCAAACTGGTAAGTCACTTAAAAGATTAGGTAATTATGTCCCCCTAAAATCATAGAAAGTATTGTTGTCAAACAAGACCAGAGAGGATCAGGTTAGACCAGTGGTTCTCAACCTGTGGGTCGGGACCCCATTTGGGGTCGATCGACCATTTCATGGGGGTCGCCAAGCAAGGCTGTCCGCCATTTTTTTTGTCCGCCATTTTTTCCCCCTTTTCCGGCGGGTGCCTTACCTCCCTTGGGCTGGGCCAGCTGGTGGTCGGCCTGCTCTGTCTCTGCCGCTTGCCAGCTACGCCTCGGCCGGCGCAGGGGGCGGAACCACGCATGCGCGGCGCTCCCGGGCAGGGAAAGTCCTCGACTTACGACCGGTTGGGTAGTCCTCGACTTACAACCGGTTTAGTCCTCGACTTATGACCGGTTGGGGTCGCAGCATTAAAAAGGTTGAGAACCACTGGGTTAGACCCATATTTCTCAATTTACCATCCAGCTATGTTGACCTAGCAGTTTCAGAATCCTAGCAGCTACCATATTAACCCATCTGAACCACACCAGATGGGTTGGGGCAAACAACCCAATAGTTTGACCTTTGCTTAGACCGGGTTGGGCAACTCTGGCCCCTTTTTACAACCCATGGACGTCAACTCCCAGAATTCCTGAGCCAGCCATGAATTCTGGGAGTTGAAGTCCACAGGTCGTAAAGGGGCCATAGTTACCCACCCCTGGCTTAGACAAACCCATTAGCCTAAAGATCAAGATTAGGAGACTTTGAACCTTTGCTTCAGGTTGCTGCTTTTGTTCCTGTATTTCCTCCACGTTGGAAGACAAGGCAAACAACTGCTTCTACTTTAGAAGTGAGGCCTTAGCTCTGTATGCAGTTGGGCTTATGCCCGTCAATCCTGAATATACTTTCTAGGAAGCACATCTCACTTAAATGAATGAGACCTGAATCCAACCCATTGTTTTCAATCAAGCTGCAAAGGCTGGTGGGAAAAAGGATGTGATGGCTTTGGGCTTGAGCTCTGGGGCAACCTCCAGGAGGTATATTGCCTAGGCAGGTAGAAAAATGCTTGAGCTGGATGGCTTCTGGCTCCCAGGACAATTTCACCCACTCTTGACCACATGCTTGTCTCTGGGTGGCCAAAAACAAGGAAAATTACCTTTACATGGGTCTGGACAAGAAGCTATCTACAAAGAGGCTCCAAGTGGAATATTTGCATGTAAAGGATATATATATAAAAGAATTAAAATCAATCAAAAGGAAATATTGCCCTTGAGAAAACATTATTTCAAGAATGGACAGCCTCTTTTGTCCTGGGAGCTACCCCTGACTATTTGGAAGCTAGGACAATAGTCTCTCCAAGAGGATGGGGCTGAGACCTGGATAGGAGCCATTTTCTGGCTATGGAAATGGATGCATTTTGCCTCCAGAAGGCTGATTGAGCCATCTCTACTTCGTTTTGGCAAAACCTACCCCAAAAGGATATCTCACCAATTTTACCAGATGTTGCAGGACAAAACGAGGATCTTCTGAGGTTGTAACACAGAGGCCAAACACGGCCTACAAGAAGCCCATCCATGATTTATTAACATCTTCCTTTTCCAGCATTTAAGGATACGCTAACCAAAAGTGGATCTTCACATTTCACAAAAGAAGTAACCACAGGAGATAGTGAATTATTTTCATCCGTGTCTCCTTAAAATGCCTTGCATAATGTCTGAGAAAATTAAAACACAATGGTGTCATTGTTCCTTCTGCCTTCAGGGTGCAAAAAAAAAAAAAAAAGATTCCAAACAACCTGCTTTTGTTTTGTAGAAGAGCCAAGCCAGCTGGCTCTAATTTAGTCACTGCTTTTGTTGGGTGACCATCCTAAGCATCTTCAGTGCCATGTCACCTTGGTCAGCCGGGACCTGAGATCAAAAGAGCATCAGTTAGCCAACTGTAAGGGATTTTCCAGAAAGCTACAAGAACAGGAGCAGCCATAAAATAAAAGGGCGCGGGGACCACAAAGAAGAGAAGATTCCCTCCCCAAGTTTTGTAATATTATTCATCTATTGTTTATTGAGGCTAAAGAAAAGAGAAAATAAAAAAAGGAAGTAGAAGCCTTGCTCATCCGGACAAAACTACAAAATACGTTTAGACTCCATTATCTCAACTTTGTTGTTGTTAGTTGCGAAGTCGTGTCCGACCTATCGCGACCCCATGGACATTCCTCCAGGCCTTCCTGTCCTTTACCATCTTCTGGAGTCCATTTAAGTCCATTATCTCAATTATGGATAGCTAAACATAGTCCCTTAGGATCTTCATCTCTTATGAACTTCTGGGTGAGGGAATGGCAAACTAGACATCTCTGATGGAATGGAGATGAAAATGCAGCCAAGACTGACAGACTGGCAGTAAACTCAGTTGACAGATGAGGAGAGGATGAGAGATCACCCATTTGTGCTCCAGACCGGCCATGGCATACCAGCAACCGGGCCGCGCAAACAAGTGAAGCCCCATCCACTGGATGCAGGCAGCATACGAAACCACGCCGCCTCTGGTCCGCGGAAAAATCTTTCTCCACAGAACCGGTCCTTGGTGCCCAAAAGGTTGGGGGCCTCTGCTCCAGACAACCAATCCTTATGAAGAGACTGCAGGACTGCGATTGAGTGATAGGTCGGAGCACTGGGAGATAAGGGAAGCCATCAAGTGGAGTCTTTAAGGATATTGGGTTCATCCAACCTCACTTACTAACCATTTTTGGATTTATAGTGATTTTATAATTAACAAAGGTCTTCCAAGCAACAAATCTGGTGACTAAAACTTCATCCCAAAATAGAGGAAAAACTAGCTAATGGCTTAGAGAATTCAAAGAGCATAAAATAAATGCAATTCAAGAAAGTTATAAATGAATTAAGGAAACAGGTGAATTTGGCATGCTAGGTCTTTTGCTAAGATTTTTAAAATAACTCAGTAAAACATTATTTTTTTTGCAGGAACATAAATGGTTTAATCTATCAGGGAAAAAATGAAAATGGTTGAAATTTGAAAACAAAAAACAAAAAAATCTGATACTTTTGTGATTAAAGAAATGGGACTCTAAAGAAGACTAAAGTTCCAGGCACAAATAGTAAAAAAGAAAGAAAAAAAAGGGAGGGGAATCTGTCATCTATTCTTGAACTAAAATAAGAGCAGTGGTTATGGATTATAAAATGACAAAGTTATGATGCTTGAGACATTTCAAAGGAATTTTTGAAGAACTGTGACTGAAACATATAGCTAAACTGACAGAAATAATTTCTGCACCTCCAAATGCATTTTTTGAAGAAGACTCTAAAAAAGAAAGACATGGAAGAGACTAATATGGAAGAAATTATAAACTGACAGGATGAAGAGGCAAAACAAACTCCAACTGATGTAGAAACATTGTAAAATAAAGTGTCGATTGTAAGACAGAAATGGCAGAGTGGAAAAACAAATGATAAGCCAGGAGATGAAAAACGACCAGGATAAGATATTATTGAATTTACAAAAGAGGGTTTCTAAAACCTTGAAGAAATTTCAGACTGGGGTAAAGGAAGTTTAATTAGAGATTCTCTCCGGTGATAGCAATTGGACGAACTGAAGATCAAGATTGTTAGAAACCAACAAATGGAACATAAAATTGACTTCTTGGATTGGGGCTGAAATAAGAAATATTTCTATAAAGTTCTGAAAACCCTTTATGAGCTTTATGCCAACGCTTGGATAGAAATGACAATGATCTTTGGAATTGCTAATGGATTAAAGTAGGATTATGGGAAAAATAGTTTTATCTTTTAGCATGGTTAAATTATTTAATAAAAACTATTTAAAAAGAATCTTCATATGTTATTACGATCAACTGAAAGAGCCTGGCTTATGGCAGCCTCTTTCTTTCTTTCTCTCTCTCTCTTTTTCCCCAAAATTTTCATTTTATTGGCAAACTCTCTCTTTCATGGAAGGGACATAGGTATCATCATACTTGCCCTATTCTTTTGTTTTTGTACTACGCAAAGCTGTGTTTATAAAATGTTTTTCCTTCTTACAACATACAAAACAGAAGCTGTCCTATTCTTGCTCTGAAAGCATGGAAAGGACTTACCATGTGGCCAGCCTTCAGGATCCAGAAGAAGCTCAGATTACAATAGGATTTATAAAAAGCAGCCGTGTCTCTGCATTCTGGGCAGGTGTACAAAGGCTGCCAATTCAGTGCATTAAATTCTTTCAGTTTGGGCCATTTTAGCTTCCGGACCCAAGCTTCTTGCCCTAAACATAGAAGAGAGATCAATAACTCTATCATAAAAAATCTTGCAACAAACTGGTCCAGTTTGAACAGATGTTCCCCCACCTACCGTGGTGGAGAGCCATGGTAGTGCAGTAATTAGAATGCAGTATCGCAGGCTGACTCTGCTCACTGCCGGGAGTCTATGTCTACCAGACATTGATGTGAATGCCTTTGATCAAACAGACCTGAAAGCTCCAGTCATTTTTGCTCCAAAGGACCAACACAGCCATCTACCACAAGAACTCGGACTAAACTCAGCTGAGTGGGCAGATAACATAGGCTGCATTCATACCTATTACTAAGCCTGGATTTGTTCACCGGGATTTGTTGAACACACTATAGTGGTCTGGTTTACATATCTCATTAAGGAAAAAACAGCACACTGCTTGCCTAGATTAATGTTATACTGTACACTAATTGTTTACTCTGGGTTAATAAACTGTAACTGAAAAGAAGAATCTAGTTTGGCATATGCCTGCAAAGACTGATGAAGTCTCAAAATGCAGCAAAGTAGAAATGAAGAGGGCTTAGGAAATAAATCCAGTATTTTAGCTAAGGATCATGTCATCATTAAAACCGAAAAGCAATCCGAACAACTACTTGTATGGAAGAATGGGTGACAGGAGTCCCATTTTAAGATGAAAGGGAGAGTATAACCTCCACAAACAAGTTTATGCCAGCTATTTCTGGGTTCTATAGCCCCAATTTCCTTCTAGAGCTATGCCATCTATCATCCTTCTACCATTCACTCATTTATTTCTAACCTTTTGCTTCTGATCTCTTCACTTTATCTTACTTGACGTTTCATGCCATTTGTGCTGAAAACCGGCATTTACTTCCAGTTTTTGACAAAAACACACCATTGGTTGACTTAACAAGTGCAGATTCATTTAACAACTGCTGCAAAAAAGGTTGTAAAATCAGGCCGGTCACGTGACTGACCCATTTCAGGACCGTCACGAGTTACAATCATGATGGGCAGGCTCCATTATGATCATTAAGTCGAGGATCACCTCTATACAGTTGCGCCTGACAACACTGACCTCCTTTGCTGTCTCCACCAAGCCACTCCCGCGGGAAAAACTACTCTTACCTATTGTAGGAACAATGAGATCCAGCTGCCCATTGTATACAGTGACATTCACATTGGCATCCAGCAAGCTGTCTACAATATCAATTGCATTTTTCATAAAGTCTTCAGCCATATTCATAAATACATCTGCTGATTGCCCTGCAGAGTGATGACAAAAGAGTAAGAAAAGGTAGATTACCTTTTCTGTTTTGATGACATTTTTATAAGTTAAAATGTAAAAAGAAAAGTAAAATAACTCTTTTCCATTTAAATTCAGGAGAACCATCACTTTGGATGTTATTGTAAAGCTGCCCAGAGAGTCACTGTATCACTGAGATGGGTGGCACAAAAATTTAATAAATAAATAAATACCCCCAGCTCCCCTTAAGGACAGTACATCAGTTTAATTACTGCAGATCGACAAAATACATTTTGCCACTGTTCAATCCTAACTAACATAATAGAAAAATATAATTTCCTAAGAGAAGAGCTTCATCAAAGAGTTCTTCATTCTCCAGTCAGCTATGATATACCGTGCAACAAACTACATGAGTGTTAGATGGAGTCAGTAGATATTACAATACCTCCCCATTTGACATGGTCTGGAATTATTTTCAGCTTCTTTCTGATGGGCCCATTCATCAGGTCATTCAGCTTGTCTTTAATTTGATTTTGTACATGATGCTGGAACAATTTTACTGAAGAAAGAAGAGAAAGAAAAAATAGCATTTGAGGTTTACCGGAAAGGGACCCCCTTGTATAGATGGATGCCCTATTCTTTGGTGCAGAAATTCCAAAAGAATTTCTTTCTCTCGCTTTCTGTGGGTGTTCCATAAGTAGAGATTTTTAAAGAAGAGACTGGACAGCCTTTTGTCTGAAATGGTATAGGATCTCCTGCTTGAGCGGGGTTGGACCAGAAGACCTCAAGGTCCCTCCCAAACCTAATATTCTATCTTCTGTTCTCTCTCTCTCTCTCTCTCTCTCTCTCTCTCTCTCTCTCTCTCTCTCTCTCTCTCTCTCTAACACACACAAACATCAATTGCAACAACTAAATCATAAATATACAAAATAAAACAAAACAAAAAACAACCCTCCTCCTGCCTCCCCCAGACCCAATATAGCAGCAGGTCAATAATTAATTAAAGTAAATTAAAGTAAAGTGATTAAATTTAAATTAAAACCACAGAAATGTGGCTCCAGTCATGTAAAGGGACATCTATTCATGACTTCTGAACAGTGAATCAGTGGCAGCCTACCAAAATCAGATCTAGTCAGAAGTAAGTAGATCCTGTCTAGATCCTATCTAGCAGTCCTTCTGTCAAATCCCAAATCTTGTACATGCATTATGGCCCTCAATTGCAAAAGCTTATCCCACTCACCAAGCAAAAAATAAAAGTTCTGACAAGACTAATAAAAAAATACCTTTATTCTATTTTTTTAATGCATTAATTTTGTAATGCTCAGCTCAAGCAATTTGTGCAGTTCAGAAGTTGGCAGTCTGTAGTGTTAGGGATTTATCAACAATGGAGATCCAATATGACAATCACAGAACAGTTGCTTGTATAGATGCTTGTATAGATAATCAGAACTGTCATCTTTTCATGCAAGACTCCATTGTTGAGTTCCTGAAACTTTCTTTATTTCAGCAACTTCTTTTAGAGCACAGAAGCAGGGAAGGAGAATATCTCTCTCTCTCTCTCTCTCTCTCTCTCTCTCTCTCTCTCTCTCTCTCTCTCTCTCTCTCTCTCTCTCTCTCTCTCTCTCTCGGGCTAGTATGTGATGAGTTCAGACATTACAAACTGGAGTTCCCAAGATTATCTGTGGAAAAAGGTAACAACTGCTAAACCCATTTTAGCATCTGTAAAGGAGCTACACCAGGGGTCTCCAAACTTGGCAACTTTAAGACGTGTGGACTTCAACTCCCAGAATTCCCCAGCCAGCATGGGAGACGTTGCCAAGTTTGGAGACCCTGGGCTACATCTTTGATCTTTTAAAACTACTATTTCTTGCTAAAAAGAGTTCTGTCTCAACTTACAAAATGGGGTGGTTTCAGTTGCAGCAGACGAAAGAGCTGCGTCGTTTGAAGAGTCATGTTTTAGAATGTTATAGAAATTCACACCATTTGTGTTCTAGACAAGAAAAGAAATGACATTAAGGATAGAGATTCTACAACAAGAGACATGGTTTGCTCTAAGGTTTGGTGCTGAAGAAGACTCCTGAGGATACCATAGATAGCCAAGAAAACCAAAACATGGATCATAGAAGAAATCCATCCAGAATTCTTAGTCAAGTCACCAGGCTTTATGTTAAGTGAAGACCAAGCTCTCTTAGAAGTCTAAAATGCTGGGAAAATGGAAAGGAAAGGAAAGAAGAGGATGACAAGGTAGATGGACTCAGTTACAACGATGATCAGTGCATCATGGGGAGACCCTGAAGACCAAGCTGGAGACAAACCGTCAGAGACAAAATCTGCCCGTATGGTCCCTAGAAGCTGCCATCAGGTTGATGGCACATAATCAATTAAATCAATCTCTTTACCTTTTCTATGATATCCTCTGCTTTATCCCAAAGCAGGGTAGCAAGCTTAAATGCCCCTGTATTCATTGCATTCAAGATCTTCTTGGCAGCAATAGTGACTTCCTTCAAGCCTTGATCATCCAGGAAAGACTGCAGTATAGGGAGTGGGGTGAGGGCACAGTAGAAAAGTGGGGAAAAAAGAAATTCAGAACCAACATTGCATATAATGCCTCAAGTATTTTCAAAGGAATATAAACTGGGCAGCAAATCACCCCAATATCAATGTGTATTTTAACAAGATATTATTTGCAATGGCTTCAAAGGAAATATAGAGGCTACCTAGAATGATATATTAAAGGACTGGTAGAAGGTCTTTATTAATCTGAGCAAAGTCAACAAACAGAAACTATTAGAAGTCCTCAGTAAAGGGAATTGTGATGTTCTAAAGAGTCTGTATTTACCACCTATGCTTTAGATAGTTTCCTTTCAAGCGGATCTTACATTATGGCCTATTGGCGGGGCAGATAAATCTCAGCACACTTGAGACCCTGCTGTTCAAGCCTAGTTTAATACCAATGCCATTAGGTGGCATCTTCAGGGATCAAAAACAGCTAAGGGCAGCTGGAGCAGCTGTACCGAAAGGGGGGGACATGGAGAATATGTGCTTGCATGACGAACACTTAAGTAGATCCCAAGTATGCACTGAGAGCAGATGTAGCCTTTTGAGGCCCAATTGCTTCCTTCCTTCTAGCCTATGTTTATAAGCAATCAAATGTTGATCATAACGTTCTATGAACTTGCTGACTACAAATTCCAGGAATAGAGGAACATTTCTGGTCTGATCCAACATGGCAACTCTCATGAACAGTCAAAAAGCAGAGGAAGAGAAAAAAAAGGAAGGAAGGAAGCATCTAGCATTTTTCAAGCTAGGCTCAATGAAATTTGTTGACTCTCAGACTTGAATTGACTCTTTATTGGCAGCAAAACAGGTTCATTAGATGTTGTATGGTCAAGGATTAAATTGTGCTTTAAAAACAAAGTTGCATGAATTTTGATATAAAGGTAATCTTGATATATCTGCATAGTAGTAAAGTTTACTTACCCTATTTATTAAAGTAGAATAGTTCAAGTTATTTTTATTTTTCTCCCCTTCTTGTGTTAGTTTTATTCAGAGTTTTATATTTTGTACAAATTGTATTCAAAAGTTTGGGTTTTTTTGTTCTTCCTGGTAGTTGTAAGAACATTAATAAACTTTTAAAAAAACACATGGAGTATATACTTACAGTGCTATACAGGTAAGGCCCCCAAGCAAGCACAGAATCTAAAAGAAACAAAAATTAAGATTGGCTTTTAAAAAAAAATAAAACAGAATAGTGGGCATATCTTAGTATCTTTCTCACATTTCTCTATTTAAAGCTCTATTTAAACTGTTTAAGTTCCTGAGTATTTTCTGCACCAGGACAGAATAAGAACTTATATAAAATCAATCCTAGCAATTTGAAATTGGCAGCTTTTCAAAAGGAGGAGGAGGAGGAGGAGGAGAAGGAAGAGGCGGCAGCAGCAGCATCAGTGCAGGGAAAGAACTCCTAATTTTTAAAGTGGCATCAGTGGAACCTCACAAAAATCTCTAAATCCATGGAGATCTAATTTAGCATCAAACTGTTTATTATCCCAAAGTATCAAAATCTGGTGTCTTCCAGGAGCATTGATACAAAATTTCCATCATCCCCAGATTGGAGGGATAGCCATGCTGGCTGGGTGCTGAAAGGCCTGTATTCTAACTAACATATCTTGATGCTACCAGGCTGAGGAGGATGACATTAAACTATTCACATTTTTAAAAAGATCTTATTCGTGTTGGTATTACATATTCTGAAGAATAGCCAAGATTATGAAGGGGGGAGTAAACCCTCTGGACAATTTTCAAATCACGTGGGAAGCCCAATCCAGACTCTTACTGACAACGGCCATTGTGTATCTAGTAACGGCATTCTGACATTCTGTTTACAATAATCAGGATCATGTGTTGGATCTCCTATTCCAACATGCAATATCTTCTTTCCTTTAAGATAAAAATTGCCCAGTTTAATCATACTTAAAATAACCAACCAGAAAGCCATATATAATGGAACATATAATTCTCAGTGGCTGGAATATTACATTTCCAATAGAAGAGAATATCTGTAGCTCAGGGTTGAACTGTAGAATCTTTAGCGCTCTCTGAACTTAGTTCAGACATTTTATTACCTAACTAGGTAACATCATTGGTGTTATTTAGTCATGTAATAAAACAACTGCAGAGAGCACCAAGGATTCCATATTAAACTTCCTCAGTCTCCAAAAATTATCTAACAGACAAGCAGAACTGAATAATTTCGGTATACAGATAAGATGGAGAGAAGAGATTTTAATCCTAAAGTACCTGAAGTCAAATTGAGATAAAACCAACCTTCTACATTCTCACTTGAACCTGAGTTGCTGGTACCGAATCTTAAAACATCCATAACTTTTTTTCAGACTTTGCCAGAAAGAGGCAAGAAATACATTGGAAGATACATAATAGCACAGATGTACTTAGCTCCACATGAATATACCTAGAGGAGAAATCCATGAATCACCAAGGGCTACTCCATGAAAATTGCACTTGATTGTTCCAGCTTGAATAGCCTTAAAAAACAGAATTAATGCTTAATTAAAATCTAAGTATTCTGAGGTAAATGTATCATATATTTTCAAGCACCTTCCCTTAAGGGTAGGAAGAAGGCAAACAGGAACTGCAGAATTTTCAAGTACGTCAATTTCTTAGCTGATGCTACAGCTAAGGAAGTTGCTTCTTGGTTAAAAACAATCAAATCTCTAGCAATTTCACACACAGGCGGGCCCGTGTGCATGTCAAGATCAGGAAGGTGGTGGATGGAGTGTAAGCCTTGCCCCTCTGAAAGCTTGTGCAATGACGAATGGACAAAAGAGGCGGGACTTGCCTTGTGCTCACCATCTTGTCAGTGGACTTTGCTGCCTATGCAGTTTATTTTAGCTCAGTACTAACATTCTTTGCCTCCACTGTGCTAGTTATCAGGTCTATGCCAGGAATCAAGTCTGGAACAGACACATCTGATGAGCTTGGTCCTCCCAAGATCTCTTTAATCAAAAATGTACTTGATATTATGTAACTTGTACATTACATTTTACTTCCTTCCTTCTCTCCCTCCCTCCCTCCCACATTAATTTTCTTCCACATTTTCTGATAATCGTAAGGGGAAAGAGTAGCTACTCAATCACTAGCTAACCCAGGGCTCCTACTGCCAATGTGCGCTTACACAACTGGCTGCAGCAGGGATGTACAATAGCTTTTGGTCTGAAGATTGCACCTGGTGCCTGAGTCTCATGCAAAGTCCACATATCCACATGACTCTTATCTAACTCTAAGCAGGTGCTGTTAGTAGAGAAGTTTCTGGTGCATAGGCTATAGCAGTGGTTCTCAACCTGTGGTCCACAGATTCCCTGGGGATCCATGAAGGCTTGAAGAAATACTATGTTTTAAATCTTGAGTTAAGTCTTGGAGGTTCATGGCCACAGTCTGTGGCCACAAAAGATATTTAAAGGGGGCCAGTGATGAAGTAAAGGTTGAAAACCACTGGTCTATAACAATAAATCAGTTTAATTGAACCACATGTAGACCTGATCTTTCACACCTGACATGGGAATATATATATATTTCACATCACAGGTGACAGCACTTGGCCAGTTTTGACTGATCTGAAAAAAGCAAAGGCAGTCAAATCTAGTTAATGCTGGGAAAGGAGAGCATCAGAAAGCCAAGGGTCATAGACTACAGTAGACCGGGAGGTCAGAAACACATCCCAGAAGCAGTAGTAAAACACTTCCATCTTGTTACCAAAGAAACTACATTAATGTGTCCATATAATAATCAGGAATCAACCTTGATTTGAGGAGGATTTTATATGCCTCATTTATTCTTCCCTCAAGATCTTGCAGAAGACATCTAAGCTACCCTGAGAGAATCCATTTTCTCTGAGAGGAAAAGATCAATTTTACCTTATGAACTTCCAGAGCAATTGCAGCTGCCATTTTTCCTCCATAAGATTCGGAAAAGATGTAGAAGGGGATTGTCTGAAAGGAAAAATGCATTAAAAAAATTAAAGAGTTTGAGCAACGTTCCACAAAAATAAAAGAATTGCTCAGTATATAAACCTTTACTCTTTTCTTCCTCTTGCTTGATGCCCATAAACCCTACAGGTAAATCTTTCCTCAGAAGAGCAAAGCAAAATGGCCTCCTTCTGCAGCTATAAGGCCAAGTAAAAGACACCCCCTTGCATGTCTGTCCTGCCCGTTCCACAGGTATGGGATTCATTACAGTGCAAAGCAGATTATGTCATATAATCAGGCCCAATTTTATGTTTTTTACTGCAATTGTTAAGCAAATGCCACAGTCACTAAGCAAACCCTGGTTTCTGGCAAAAAGCTTTGTAAATCACATAAAGGCAAGCTGGTTACCGAGCACCCAAAATGCAATTATGTCACCACTGGGAGGGGGGGGGGGAGAAGCAATTGTCAGAACTTTGATTATGGTTGTAAGTACAGGTACCTTTTTTTGGGGGGGGGGTCTGTTGTAACACTAAGTGACCAGTCATAACTCATGTTTTACCCGTACACCAAATGAAGTAATTTACACATCAACTAGGACATTTGGGATTTCAATCCAAAAATAAAAAACTAACATTTAATTTTATTCCCTCCTGAAGTTAGAGAATCCACTCCATTTTAATGACAGAGCAACCCAATGAATTTGCAGGAACCCTTCATATCTCCCTCTGATCATAGTAAAAAAAACCTACTTCCTAGGACTGGTCTTACGCCCTAAGCCTTTCCAGGCAAAATTAGGCCTAGGATTATAAAACACTCCATTAAAGTATTGCACATGGGCTGGCTTCCATTAAAGGACCAATTTTCAGAAGAGAGAAATCTCTACGCTAGCAGGAATGAGGAACCTTTCAACACACCATCATTTGCCTCATATTCTGAGAGACTTTGAAGGAGGGAAAAGAGGGGTTAAATCTAGACTTCGGGCACACTCAAATTGTGAATTCCTGCTAGGTCAGCACTCCCAACAGGCCTTGCCCTCTAACACAGTGGTTCTCAACCTGTGGGTCGGGACCCCATTTGGGGTCGATCGACCATTTCATGGGGGTCGCCAAGCAAGGCTGTCCGCCATTTTTTTTGTCTGCCATTTTTTCCCCTTTTCCGGCGGGTGCCTTACCTCCCTTGGGCTGGGCCAGCTGGTGGTCGGCCTGCTCCGTCTCTGCCGCTTGCCAGCTACGCCTCGGCCGGCGCAGGGGGCAGAACCACGCATGCGCAGCGCTCCCGGGCAAGTCCTCGACTTACGACCGGTTGGGTAGTCCTCGACTTACGACCGGTTTAGTCCTCGACTTACGACCGGTTGGGGTCGCGGCATTAAAAAGGTTGAGAACCACTGCTCTAACAGATACCGTTCAGGATAACAGTCTGCAGGAGCCTTTGCAAGCATAACTATTAGTGGCATGAACAAGGATCCCAATTGGTCAAGATGCTGATTTGCAAGGAAGCCCAGCATATGTGCAATTTTAAGAGATTTAAGCAAGGTTTCCTTCCCAAAGCCATTTGATAAATGTCAGCAGAGCTTAAAAGACTTGTGTGATGTGTACTTCAGTTTTGCAATGCCTGAGTAGGTGCTAATGTGTAGTTTATGGGCTTCATACAGTGTAGTGGACAATATGGCTTTCCATGGGCTGTTCCAGCTGTACTTGCCTGGAATTCCACCTTTGATTTAAAGAACTCTCGGAGAACCACCATCATATCCGAAGCGACCATGCTGAGATTAGTGGCGTAGGCAAGGGTGTCATTAACGTAACTGTATCCGGTGCCAACAGGATTGTCAACAAAGAGAAGACTTGCTGCCTGCAGCTACACCACCCAAAGGAAACACTGACATCAGCAACACACACGGAGGGAGAGCAGCATAAAGGAATCACAATGAAAGGAGGAGTCTTTGAAAGGTTCCCACAAAGACACGATGGGAGAGCTTATTTTGCATTGAAAGGATAGCGCATTACTTATTATTGCTATATTTTAAGCCTAGAGGCATTTATTAAATATCTCTTAGCATTAGCTATTCTTATTCATAGGCAACCTCAGCCATAGAAGTCTTTATTCCGGTTTTTAATACTTGCAAACTTTGCAGAGTCATACCTTCCATAATTTGTGGTTCTAAACAAAATTTCCCCAAATTTTAAGTTCATTCTTTTAACGTTTTATAAATTATCTAGATGTTTCTGTCTGTCTGTCTGTCTGTCTGTCTGTGTGTTTATGCGTACATTGGTGTGTACATGTGTGTATATATATTTATCTTTTTAATATACATGTTTTTATTTGACTTTCAGGATAGTGAAGAGCAGCCTTACTAGTAATCTTTAAAAATGAATCCAAAGTAATATCTAAAGTTTTACTTGGTTTGTTTAACACAAGGATAATACCGAAAAATAGAGCACATAAAGATTTCCTGGCATAAAGACATGTAATCTATTAGGCTCCTGAATGAGATGTACAGTAGGAGTAAGATCACTTTAAATAATAGACAGCTTCAGAAGCATACAGTAAATGGGCTGTTTAAAGGAAAAGAAGCAAGAAAGATCTCAAAGTCTACATTTCAAAAATCAACATATTGGAAATTAGCCATTTTTTTTACGTAGCCTGCCAGAACATGCCCAATCTTCCCACTATAAGTTAAGACAAATACCCAAGTTGTATTTCTTGGTTTTAGATCAGCATCTAGAGGGCCAATCTCTTCAAAATTTCCATACCCGCAACTTGAAGCTCCTGGGCCTCCCTGTGGAAACATAGAGATGAGAAATGGAGGGAAATATATCAAACATTTTTCTTACTATCTTTATTTTTCCATTTATCTCCCAAGAAAAGGAGGTGTGATGAACATAATGGCTCCATTCCAAGATTATAACGCAAATCCAGATAGAATCCTGTAGAACTTTTTCTCAGAAAGGGCAGCCAAGTGCTATGTTAGTCTATATCAGGGGTAGTCAACCTTGGCTCTTTTATGACTCGTGCACTTCAACTCCCAGAATTCCTGAGCCAGCATGGCTCAGCTTGGAAACTTCTCCCTTTTCCCTCAGCATGGTTGGCTCAGGAATTCTGGGAGTTGAAGTCCACGAGTCATAAAAAAGCCAAGGTTGACTACCCCTGGTCTATATGGAAAGGAATTGCAGGCCTTTAAAAGATGCCCATCAGGCAGAATTTCTGAATTTTCCAAGCTAAACTTAATTCCTGCTTGTTACAGGTAGTCTTTGACTTACAATCACAACTGAGTCCAAAATCTCTGTTGCTAAGCAAGACAGTTGTTAAGGGAGTTTTGCCTCATTTACAATCTTTCTAGGCCACAGTTGTTAAGTGAATCACTGCAGTTGTTAAATTAGTAACCTGGTTGTTAAGTGAATCTGACTTCCCCATTGGCTTTGCTTGTCAGAAAGGTTGCAAAAGCTGATCACATGATCCCGGAACACTGCAACCGTCATAAATATGACCCAATTTCCAAGCATCTAAATTTTGATCACGTGACTATGAGGATGCTGCAACAGTCATACGTGTGAAAAACAGTCATCAGTCACTTTTTTCAGTGCTGCTGTAATTTTCAATGATCACTAAATAAATGGTTGTAAATTGAGGACTACCTGTATAGGCATAGGACCTGACTACATGAAATGCCACAATGAAATTCTATAGCTCATTTATGCTATGCCATCACTTAGTTTTTGCCCTTACAATTTGAATTGCTGTTCCCAATTCTTGACTTGCTGGTCACCTTCCGCTATATTTAGCCAGTGATCAGTGCTTTGAATCTTTAAAAGCTTCCATAGTTTGAGATGAGGGAAATATTAGCAAGGAATGACAAGCTCCATACTCCAAGTAGCTTAACGAGCAACACATAACAAGTAGGATGGAGCTCCAAGGAAGCTTAGCATAATATAGTTTCTTCAATTTTGGCTTAGAGCAGGGGTGTCAAACTGCCGGCCCGCACCGGATGTGTCATGCCAAAATCGCACCCACCCCATTGCCGGCAATGGAAAAAAAGTCGCGATACGTCGCGACACGTCACGCGACGTTGTGAGTTTGACATGCCTGGCTTAGAGTGTTATGCAGCTATAATGATTTGCAAATGGCCTGGCTTATTTTGGTAATCATGTTTCAAAAGCAGAGGCTAAGCTCACAAAACACTCCAAGCAACTTACAAATCCAAACAATTAACAATACAATTTTGTGTGGTACATCGGAAATAATATTTCTGATTTTCAGCTGCTTTTAATAGCTTGATTTAGAATAATTACCCCCAACTTACCTGCAGCCATAAGATAAGAGGAAGTTGTGTGAAATTCTGAGTGGGACTGTCTGCATAGTACAACCACCAAAACATGCTTGCATTGCTTCTGACAGGAACATACCCCCATGCCTGTTTTGTTTCTTTAGGTTCCTTTATTGAAAAAGCTAAAAGGAAAAAAAAAGTAAGCAATTACTATGTTTTATAAAGCTAAGAATACAAGAGGACTTGGTATTCTCCTACCATTGTGAGAATTTCAACAGAAGAATCTCTTCCTTCTACACCAGGATACACCAATCTTGGCAACTTTAAAACTTGTGGACTTCAATTCCCAGAATTCTGGGAGTTCAAGTCCACAAGTCTTAAATTTGTCAAGGTTGGAGATCCCTGTTCTACACTACCACATCAAACCTATAATTCCTCCATACTTTCTTGTACAATTGGCCTTGCACAGTATGTGGTTCTTTCAAAGTACAGAGATAGTAGAGATAGCAATGCTACTTTAAGTGCCAGAAATACCCTCGATTTTGCAGGATCCTACGCAAACAGGGTTAATCAGCAAGGCCCAGATTAAATTTTGAGCACTAAGTGTTTCATCAACATTGACAGCGGGAGAGTGAGGTAGTCTATGGATCTTTTCTGCCCAGTGGAAGGCCCTGATGTGACATTCATCCTAGAGCTATGATAAATCACAGAGTATGTCTCATGACTCACAAGCATTAACAAGATTTTTTTTTGTCAACATCAAGGAATCTGCATCCAAATTCTGCTCTACTTTCGAGACAAGCTCTGCCCACTTCAACAGGACAAACCATCAGTATCTATGTGTTAAACTCATTCCTTTCTTTTGAATGAATACAGATTATAATCCTCCTTAGTCTGTTTATACAACAAAATAGATCCTGCCACTTCAGAGACCAAACAGATGGCAATATTTTGAGGGTGTGGAAAATACCCACTTATTTGAAGCCATTTTTCTTTTGTTCCTTTTCCTGAATATTTCCAAATGAAGCTCAGCACATAAAGCCCATGGGCATTCTTGGAAATTAAAAAAGAGACATGTCAGTCTTCTTAACTAAAAAAACCCTTTTTTTAAAAAGAAAAAGAAAAAAAACACAGAGCAGGTAGGAACGTTGGAGGGTGCCAATTGTCCAATCCCATGGGATGATCTGTGGGATGGGCACAGAGTACACCAGATAGTGACTTTCATCTTTCTTAAACCTTGGCACTTTTTCTCCTACCCAACAGACCACTCCTTGGAATTAAAGAACTGGCAGTAGAGGATCCACCATCTCACTCCAGAGGGCACAATTTCTTTGGATCTCTTTAGTAGACAGGATTCAAACTTGGAAAACACTCCAAGGTCCACATATTAACAAGGACTGCATAGTATAACCAAATCCAGTGCCAAGTAGATTGCCAAGATAGCCTCCTACACACCTTTTGCTCACCTTCCATCAAGAGGACACATTCCTACAGCAGCTTACATCATACCGGTATCAGTCCTACTGACCTCAATGTAACTACTCATCTGTAGGTGTAAACCTTATGCAAAATACTGCTAGCTTCTTTCCCCCACAGTATCAGCACTTGTTTAAAAGCAGTGTCAAAATAGAATTTGGAACGTAGAATAGTTTAATCCAGAACTATAACATCTCTCTACAGTACAAATGGGCACTCCTAATTACACTGGTGCTTGATAGACAACTCATTATTAAAAGCAGAGGAGAAGAGAGAAAAAATAAATAAAATGGAGTACCCCAATTCTCTCAAGTGCAGTGGGCATAATCCTACATAGAGTTGGTGGTTAAAAGTCAGTTCTTCAATAGGATTTACCTCCATAATTAGCAACTGTGAGAGTAAATCACATTGTGATCTCAGCCTCAAAGACTATATTCTGCAAACCTAAAGACCTTCCAAGAACAAAGGTTGGTATCCTATAGTGATTTATTACAAGTAAATCCCATTCAAATCAATGGGACTCACCAGAATAGATTTGTATAGGACTGTGTTCCTCTCATCTCCAGTGCTCAAGTTTAATAGCTCAGGGTAAGTTAGATAGGATTTGTACAGGTTTAACGCTACTGATCTGAATAGACTTGTGGTAAGAAGTACTAAATCTGATTTTAAAAAAAAACCATGTAGACCTATCACATATTGTCTGGAAAAATCCAGAAGATCACTTGATAGAAACATATTAGACTGTTCTACAGCTCTCTAGTGTCATGTAGTGGCCATCCAGATTTTTCTTCTCTGATATGGTAGCCTTAACACCTGGCTCTCTTATTTATTGCCACCTGATTGAAAGATACCTGGTAGAATAATCCCACAAACATTTATTCTGAAATAGTATCAATAGTGAGATGGGCAGCCTATACATTTAATAAATAAACATTTTCTGATTTTATTGGGGTTTGCTCCTATAATAGTTGGTGAAGCACAGAGAAGTCTGGCTAAAACTAAAGACTCCCAACTTCCTCAGTCATGGAAACTCACCAAGGAATTTGGGTAGGTCACTATTCCTCCATTATTATTTCATTTTTTTAATTTGTCTATGAAAATGCCTGCTGCACCATATATACACTTTGTCTTTGAAGAAATACTTCCATATTTGGAAGAAGAAGTTATACAATTTAAATTTAATTTATATAGTAGTTCTTGAGTATCTAATGTTAGAATGCTACCTTTAAAAAAAAGAATGACTGCCTAATTGGGAAGTTTCCTTTTAGGCAAATTTAAAAACTTGTTTTAAATAACCTACCCATTAAAGGACTAGATATTTTACAGCCACATTCCAAACAAGCCTGCTTGGCTGAATTCTGGAATCAAAGCTCGTATCTCCTAGCTCTGTGCCAAGCTGTCACCAGAGATCAGAGAAATATGTGGATAACAAAGAAAAAAAGATGCCAACCAAAATACAAAAGAGGGGGGGAGAGTGCCTGAAAGTACTAATACTGCTTGCATCTGCAGACTTGCAGCAGTTTTTACTGTAAAAGGCTAAAAATTCCCCAAAAGGAGAAAGATCACACTGGCTGAAACTGCTGGGAGTAGTAGTTCACCAACAACCTAAGGGAGATGGGCTGGCTCTAAAAAGAGGATCTATAAGAGATTTCCGCAGAGATTTCAACCCACGATTACTCGTTCAGATTCTGCCGCCTTCCTCATTTTCTTCCACGGAGGGAGCCTTGCATAGCTGACAGGGTGAAGAGGCTAAGCACAAGGCAAGTTTCTTAAATCTCAATACCAATAAAATAACCATGGATCTTACGCTCGGGTTAGCCTCGAGATGCCGGTCGGTTTTAAATTCAACAACACAAAAGGAGCACCGTTCTCCAATCGTGTTCCATCCCCCGTAAACTTTGTGTGTGTGTGTGTGTGTGTGTGTGCGCGCGTGCGCGCGTTTTAAATTAGCTACACGATCTGGGAAAAAAAAAGAAGAGAGAAGAAGCCATCTCCCTCCAAACTTACCTGAACTCAGAGTCCGCAGCGACAATATCAGAATAATACTTTCCGTCAGCAACATCTTGACGACGGCACGTCAATCTTCAGGGCAACAGTCGTAAGGCTCAAGCTTCCCGTCCGCCGCCTCTGAAGAAGGGGAAGCGGCGAGCCGAGTTTAAAAGCGAGCCTTGCAGTACAGCTTAATACCCAGCCCAACTCGGGAACTACGATGTTGTTTTTTTTCCCTAAAGCTTCTCACGTGATCGCTTTGGTCCTGCCCGACCTTTGCGCGCTACGAGCTGGACCCGGGGCGTCCGACCAGCCTTCACCGCGCGGCGAGAGCGCGAGATTCAAAACGCAGGCGCCGATTCTGGCTCAGTCCCGGCGGGGCGGATTTCGTCCCTGCGGCTCTTTTGCTCTGTGCTGGAAGAACCGCCAAGTTCCTCTAGCCACGATCTGGCCTAATTTTGGCTACCAGGGCGATGAGACTGGTGAAAAAAAATCAATTTAAAATAGTTTAGCCTGCCTGCTGCAACCTGTAACCTATTTGGAGTTGCTTCCATCCAATGTATTTCTTGCTGGCAAATGTAACCAACATGGACCTCTGGCTGAATTCCATCACTGCAACATACCCCCACATACCCCTGCCTACCTTATGGACCATTCTTCCCCTACACACACTCATACACGCATACACACCCCTTTATCTATCTTATGAAACATTCTTCCTCTATACACACACACACATTCCCCTACTCCTGAGATGAGGTCAGCTCCACTCCTACTTATTTTCTGAAGTCACTGATTATGTCATCAAGGCCTGGGAATCTCAGGGGACCTGTGAAATCTTGAGGTGCTCCCTTGATGATCTAAACTCGTTTGTTTTTTGCTTTTAAAACTTCAGTTTGACTACTTTGAACATATTTATTGTCTTAGATCATTTGTTGTACACAGTTGTGAATTATTTCTTGTGAAATGAGTGGCCATACAAATTTGATGGATGGATGGATGGGTGGGTAGGATAGATAGATAGATAGACAGACAGACAGACAGACAGATGTGGTTTACTTTGTTTTCATTTAGTCTGGTATGCATACCTAGTAATAGGGTTAAATAAACCACAAGCACTACAGGAAATTGTATGATTTGGGAACTAGGTATTTGCTTCCACAACTTCCTCTTATAAAAGAAAAAGCTTCCTGAAATGCAACCTTGCCTTAAAAAATATGATTGCACTCAAGAAAAAAAGCAAGCAGAATTCACTATGGGATTAGTAAATGTGGCTTTTTTGCTTTTGGCTTAGTGTGCTGGATGCATCCAGTCAATTGGATGCATCTGGGAAATTATATCAGTGTTCCAATATTTCAGGGGCTGCCACAAAGAAGAGGGAGTCAAGGTATTCTCCAAAGCGCCTGAAGGCAGGACAAGAAACAACAGATGGAAACTAACCAAGGAGAGAAGCAACCTAGAACTAAGGAGAAATTTCCTGACAATTAGAACAATTAACCAATGGAACAACCTGCCTCCAGAAGCGGTGAATGCTCCAACACTTTTAAGAAGAGACTGGACAGCCATTTGTCTGAAATAGTATAGGGTTTCCTGCCTGAGCAGGGGGTTGGACTAGATGACCTCCAAGGTCCCTTCCAACTTTATTATTATTGTTGTTGTTTACTCAATCAAATAGGACTTAAAACAATTTTAACTTAAAGTGTCCCATCTTTAGCCCATCACAGCAGCCATTTTTTATTCCAGCTTGGTTCCCTTTTTATTAAGTTGAATCTGAGCTGGACCACTTCAGATTGCAAAAATACTTCATCTATTTTTACCCATAAAAATAACCCCACAAAAAGCTGGCTTATGGATGTCTCCTTTTCTCTGACATTCATGTTTCCATATTATTCTCATTTTAAAATGGAAGAATATTCCTTTGAGTCCCCTATTTATTGATTTATTTAATTTATTGGCTGCCCATCTTAAAATTCTGGGCAGTTTATAATATGAAAAGGTTAAAATTATATAAACCCTATATACAATGTGAATAAAACACTACAATTATAGTTATAATCAAAACATGAAGTGAACATTACTAATGTACAAATAATTACCACCTTAGCTTCCTCCAAATTCAAGATGGTTATTATGAGCAAGGCCAAGGAAAGAATACAGACTTGACTTAATTTAACAAACTTCTATTTTACTGAAAACTTATTTATATAAAGAAAGAGGGGCACCCTGGTCCTATACAGAAGGCTACTAGCTATCACAGAGGCAGGGAGAATAAAAGTGCATGTATTTACAGAAAACTCACGGGGAGAATTCAGTAAAGGAAAAGTGTGAAAAATGAACATGTATCCCCACCTAAAATTAAAAGAGGTTTATTTAGACCTTTAACAGTATTGCTGACTTTCAGATCTTTTACAATTTTGTAGATTAGACAAACTTGTTTAGTCTCCTGCTATTTCCTATTTTTACATTTTATTTGCATACCTTTATGATAAAGAAAGCCAGTATGGTTTCTTTAGCAGATGACATATTCTTCCGTACGTATTTTTTTTAAACATATTACCGTGCTTTTATCAGCGGTGCAGTCTCTTTGCTCGGAGAGTTCCGAGAGATATTAAACTATTCAGAGTGAATAAGGAAGTGGAATTTGGTTTTTCCCTCTCTCCAGAACTCCAACATATCCAGAGATCCTGAAAACTTCCAGCCTAACTTGATTTTTTTGTTATGATTGTTTTAATTTAAAAACATTCAATTAAAAAAAATGGACATTTTTTGTTTTTTTTAAAAAAAACCGGGCAAAGCAACAAATCGCCGTATTGGAAAAGCATCCTCAGGTTCTCGCGCTTTCTCTCTCCCGGAGCCTTTCCGAGCTGTTCGCGGCCAGCCCCGCCCTCTCTCGCTCTCGCTCTCGCACTTTCATTTTCTTTGTCCCGCGTGGCACGCCGTAGCTGTTGGCTCTCGGAAACATGGCGGCGGCCATGGGCAGCGGCTGCGAGGCTCCGGTGCGTCTCCGCCTACTCTTCGATTACCCGCCGCCGGTGACTCCGGCCTGCGGACTGTGTTGGCTGTTGGTGGAGCCCAATCAAGTGCGCCTTATCACTGACCTGATCAGCCTCATTCGGGAGAAGTTCGGCTTTAGCCGCCACGCCAGGCTCAACCTCTTCCTGGACGGGGCGCTCCTGCCGCCCACCGAGAGCGCGCGGCTGGTGCGGGACAACGATTCTCTTCGGTGGGAGCCTTGCAAAAGGAAAAAGGGCCGGGGGGCTCCTTGGATACTACACACAGGCTTGGGCTACGGTGGTGGGGGAAACGGGCTCTCCCGAGTGGCTGCCTGCTTTGACATGGCCAGAGATTTGGTTATTTTGTTTGCGTGTTGGCAAATTTACTTAAATAATTTTACTTTTTGAATGTTAGCTTGATCCTGTTCTGATTTAGGTAGAAGCTACCTTCCAAGTACTTTGAATTGTATCTTCCATTAGATTCACATCCAGTGAGTGGGATTTATGATGCTAAGTAGTTGGAAGGAGAAGGCTGGTGAAAGCCAAGTGCATCATAATGATATAACTCTGTGAACTCTGTGCATGTTAAAGTTAGTACATTTAAGGTGGAAATAAGCATCCTTAAAATTATTTATCATCTAGAGCAGGTACTCACAAACCTTTGAAGTTAAACTTTACCAGGTTTATATTAGCAAAGCTTTATCACTCTTGAGGTTTGGTCTCTGTTTTGCTTGTGCAAGCTCATAAAATTTGAGAACGCTGTGATGACTACATTAAAATGTAATGTGTAAAAAGCACCCCCACATGTAAGCTCCACTCATTGCCAAAGCTATGGGATGCCCCCCAACCCTAAATGTGAACTATTTAAAGTACTCTTGTAAGAAAACATTCACAGCAACCTTGACCCTGAGTGGCATCAGAGGGAGGAATCATTGGTCAGAGATAATGTGGGTGCCATGCTGACCTAGTAAAAATGAATAAATAATATGTCACACGGATATCTTTATCTAAAACATTCCAAGGGCGTGCTGTCCTTTCCCCTTGTCTTCACAATGAAATAGGCCAAAGGTATGTAAGCTCATGGCTATTCAGCCAACTGCAGAAGCTGGGAGCCCAATATCTATAATATTGCTGGGAGCCCAATATCTACTGTTGTTTGCATGCTAATAAAATTATGTGGTATATTCAAAGTATTTTGGTTGCTTTTGGTGAGCCAGGTTTTGGCCACAACAGTAATTATTACAAGTAAGCAATACACTGACTTGCCCAAACTTGGCCTTAATGATATTTATTTTATTTATGGAGGCTGTCATACAAATTAATTTATCATATTATTGGGTGATGATAGTGCTCATTTTGAGAAAACATGACCTGGTGGAAATTATTTGTTCTTCCAGGCTGTGGTCCTAAATATAGAGAAGGATTCACACATTATGTAACCTTATGATTATTTTTTTTGTTTTAATGTGATATATGAACTGAAACAAATGCGGCATGCTTAAACTATGATTCAGTAAATCATGGTTTCGTGTGATATGATCCCACTCTTTCAAGTATACACATATAAAACTATTACTCTTAAGGCATAAAGACTAAAAAGAGAATATTGTACTGAGATCAGTATTCCTAACCTGTATCTTTGTTGGATTAAAGGCCAGCTGGATGGGTTTCATTTTTTAGCATGATACTATGTAAAACGTGCTGCAACAATAACATTTTCTTTTGTTTGTGGATTTGATAGAGTCAGATTGGAGGAGATTGTTGGACTGAACAGTTACGACACTGTCACCAATGGTTCCAGCAGCTTGTCAAAAAAACAAAGAAAGCGGCAGAGGAAATTGGAGGCAAAGGACTCTGAAAGTGAAGATGAGCCCAACAAAAGAAAGAAGAGTAAATGGAATTTTGAGCAGAAAGAAGAAAAATCTACAAATATTCAAGATTCTGTGACATTGGGGAAAAAGAAAAAAGCGGCACCTGAAAGGAGTCATATGATGGACACTGAGGATGATAATTCTCATTCCAAGAAACTTAGGAAAAAAATTGAGCAGGGGAAAGAGCAGGATGCAAAGAAAGACAAAAAGAAGAAAGCAAGTATATGTCCATCAAAGAGCACCTCCCAAAAGAATGAGAAAACTTTCAGCCAAAAAAGCATAAAAGGAAACACAACAGCACAATCCAACCCAAAGAAAGGCAGTTCCTCTAGTGAATCCTCTACAT